GTCAGGAACCTCAAATGAATAACCACGATCTATAGTCTGTACCTGATTTGATACGTAAGATGACCCATTTGTCAAAGAAAGATATCCTTTTTCAGATTTGTTACTAACTAGAGTTGCACATCTTGAAATTTGGTTTGAAGGATTGCTGTAGACTTACAGAATCAGGTCTGATGTTATGCTTCTGCTGCTGAAGATCCAGTGAGGAAAAGAGTAGACAGGATGCATCACTATAGAAATGCTTCACGTCTGCAAACTGCTTGATGTTACCATATTGGTGATAAGACTCACCATTTTTAAGATGACGATCTATTCTTCCTCCCGACGTACTCAGTTGTTTTTACTGATTATTTGTGGACTAATCTATTATTTGGCAATACAATTAAGACAACATAGTAAATATTCCAGACGGGGAAAACTTACAGCAAACTCTTTCATCTGAAACCAGCTTAAGAGTGAATTATATCCATCAATATCCAAATCTAGATTGGGGATTTTATATCCATTATGAACACGCACTATCGAAACAGGGTATTATTTATACTTATCATCCTAATTTACTTTAGCTTGAATTTATCTTTGGAAAGAAAATGCGCGTAAAAGATACTAGGAGTATGACAATTCCAGGGTGCCAAAATTGGATAGAGGGATATTCCTAAACAAAATGTGGATTTTAAAAGATAGAGAAAGAAGAAAGATTTTACTAACCTCTTCATTAGGTGTCAAGCCATCCTTAACTTCCAGATTTGTTATTGGGTACATTCAAAGATGACATGTGAGCAACGCCAGGATTTGTACTGCTTATACCAAGGGAACTTATTTTGTTATCTAGAAAAAAACTTTTCTGGTTGGAATCAATAGTTGAACTTGAAGTACCTGCACCTGGAGTATAAGTTGCACAATTCTCTGGTAAACTATTCAATTTAGCATCAGCCTTCAACACATCTTGAGATCCTTCAGTTGCTTGTGAAGATGAAACCCAACATAAATAATCTTCATTACCGTGACTTCCCAACCCAAACGTTGAATCACAATTTCTGTGAGAACAATAAGAAAGGCTAAGTACTGATTGTGAGTTATACTACGTATAGGAGTTTTAGTTTTATAAGAATTTTATTTTTTAATTCTAGTTTTTTTATATAGATAGAGATAACTTCTAACTTAACTAGAACTCTTATCTTAGCTAGAACTTTTATATAAAAGATCTGCTGTAACTATTGATTGATGTATGGAATTAAAAAACAATTTATTTTTAAGTAAATTATCGTTCTACATGGTATCAATTTCGGGTAAATCCTTACTTGTTTTCTCTCACTATGGATCATCCCAACACAGACAAATTTTCATTAGATCAGAGATACAATAAGAAGATTTCAACAAAACCTTAATCCCTATTATTGACTGCGAACCGTCGCAAACCTCCATGGCCACTTCTTATCGACCGCCGCAAGCATCAACACTCGATCTCAATCTCATGTCGTCTCTGCCAAGCATCAGCCTGGAGTGCAATCAGAAAATAGTTCATTGATCTACTATTTGCCTAGCTATAACCCATATGCAACTTGAGCTTTAATGGGGGTTGACGTTCAATGCCTTGGTCAACAACCAAATTATTCATCAGGATATTATCAGCCTCCAGTTTCCTATGGACCAGAGTCCATGCCCTGTTACACATGAGATTCAGCATATGCTTTAGACGTTTTAAATGGGAACTTTGATGGTTTTGGAAATGTAAAATATGGTTCAGGTTCTACTTTTGCAAAGTCAAATGGTTTCAACTCCACAAAATCAAATGGCATTGGTGAAACGCGGCAAATCCTGGGTTAGAAGTATTGGGCTAACCCGAGATGGGCATTGGTTTAATTCCTCCTTGACCCAAATTAAAGAGGATTTGAGCTTGAGGTAAGCCCAATAGTGAATAAAAAGGATGTTTTTAATCTGTAATCAGAATTGAAGGGTCCAAGTAAGCAATTATACCTTGTTCAAAAATAAAGTTGATTTCCATTAAAATTTGGTGATATCACCGTCTGAATTCTAGCTTTTCTTTTCTTTACATTTGTCTTCTTCTCCCAAGTTTTCTTCCTCTTCTTCATCATTCTCTTGAGCAAAGGTGGAAGCTTTGTTTTAGTTTCAGTCTATCATCAAACCAAGGTAAGAATCAAAATCAACACCTCTTGAGCTTTCATTTGAGACCTTAAGATCAAGTTTTGGCCATGGTTATAAAAACGGGTTTTAGAAGGGTTTACGAAATTAGACGGGTCCAACCCATTTTTCATATATTTCTAGCTTTAGGAAGTGTTTTAAAACCCTCCTTAATCCCTAAAAACAGTTAGTAACCCTTGCATTTGGTTTTGTTTAGTATAAGAGGTTGGAGAAGGCTCATAAGCTAAGGGGAAGAAAAAGTTTACCTTGGGTTGAGCATTTGACGTTTCTAGCAATATAACATCAAAGGTAACTCACTATTGACTCAACTATACCATATGTAAGTCATTTAGATGAAATGTAGTAGGCTGCATAAGGTTGAAGCATTCCTATGGTAGATTTCATGTTTCAGAGTTATAAACATGTTTAAAGCCCTATTTATGCCCCTTTGTATCTTCATAAAATATTAATAATGTTTGGGGACCTTACTAAGGTCTTTAGGATAGTAGAATAGGAGTTTTTGCACCTATTTTATGCTCTCTACAGGTTGAGTTTCGATACTAGAGGGATAGTATTGAAACTTGTTCTTCTTCTCGGGCAAACTCGTGAGTTTCTGGGCAAGAGTATTGATACTCTTTCAAGAGTACCGATACTTTGGGTTATAGTTTTGAAACTCCCAGAAAGTATCAAAACTAGGTGGTTCAGAATGTTTAAAAGTATCAATACTTGTAGAAAATATTGAAACTTTTGCAGGAGTATCGATATTCTTGGGCTAGTATCGATACGTTCAGCCTGTATTGGACAAAAAGGCCAATTTTTAAGGGAATTAGACTCGAGGTACCCTAACACTTCAGTATATCCTCAAATAAGACTTCAAGCGAAAATAATATTAATATCAGAACAGTAGAGACGAAATAGTAGGTTTACATAAACTAGCATTGTTTGACGCTCGGGAAACAATCAGGACACGAGTTCCTTCGGAAACTAGGTCGGACATAGCCTTATCTATTAACATTGTAATACATGAAAGATCCTAGAGAAGAACATTTGGAGATGGTATATCGAATTTTGAGGTTTTTAAAGATGACATAAGGACATGGCTAATTTTTAGAAAACATGAAGATAGAACAATCAAGATTTTCTCAGATTCAAGCTGGGTTGGAGAATTAACATATAGATGATCAACTATTGTTCGTTTGTGTGGGGAAACTTAATGACTTGGAGAAGCAAGAAACAAGTTGTAGTTTCTAGAAGTAGTGTTGAAGCAGAGTATCGGGCAATAGCACTCTGAATTTGTAAAGGTGTTTGGTCACAAAAACTCCTTAGCTGGAGGTTTGCAATAGAATAGACTTTGAGCTTCAGAGTGACAGTAAGTCAGCCATAAGTATTGCTAAGAATCCAATACAACATAACAAAACTAAATATGTGGAGATCAACAGACACTTCACGCTGAGAAGGTGAATAGCAGAACAGTAAAACTAAACTATGTCTCTTCAAAAGATCAACTAACCGATGTCTTGACTAAGGCGCTTCCAAGGATCAATTTCGACGAGATCACATCCAAGCTAGGTCTTTATAATATATACTCCCTAACTTGAGGAAGAGTGTGAGTTCTATTGCTTATAGGGGTTTTAGTTTTATTAGAATTTTATTTTTTAATTCTGCTTTTTTATTATAGATAGAGATAACTTCTAACCTATCTAGAACTCTTACCTTAGCTAGGACTCTTAGTAATATCTTGTATAAAAGCTCTGCTGTAACTATTGATTGATGTATGGAATTAAAAACAATTTATTTTTAAGTAAATTATCGTTCTACAGTGATAGTACTTTGTAAACCGACGTACATGCATGGATACAAATATGGTGCAGGTACATTATGTGGATACTTATGGATGTTTGAATGTATATACCTTAAGTAATACTCAGAGACAAGGTCCTAGTGAACCTCAGGTTTTACATAGTAAAGCATAACTGAAAGTTATTAATAATGGGATTTCAAGAACTACCTGTAAATCCTATCGACATCCTCAAAATTTCCAATGTTCCCCCAACCATAACATAGAAGATCACCGTTTTCTTTATCTTCGTATCACCGTTTTCTTTGTCTTCATGGTTATTATTAAAAAAAATCTAATATCATAATTATCTTCAGATATATGATTTAGTGGAAAACGATAGATGTTATTGACAACCGTAGCACAGTTGTCAACCAACACAGGATCATCTACACAGAAATCACTGCTAACTAAATCTATATCGCCAGTTTTGAGACCATGGCTGGACATCATTGGATCATCAAAAACCATGCTTGTTGCCTCTTTGAGTGAGTCATTATCACCCAAAGCGAGAAATATGCCATCAAGTCTGTCAGGACATGGATCCTTTTTTAATATTCAGTTCTTGGTCAGAATATGAGAGCCTTCTCCCTGAAAATACCACATTTAATCGTATAATCTTCAATCCTAGAAACTCTAATCACTTAATGTTGTGGTTTCATTCGACCATCCTCTTGAAGTTTGAATTGAGCCTCATATTCATTAACAGGATGAGGAACTATATGATCATCGGTAATACTAGCATCGAATTCATCCAAACACAAGCATTATCTTCAAGATGTAACATCAATCACTTAAAGTTTAGTCATATTCAATCATTCTTTATCAAAGGAAATGAAAACAGAGAAGATCAAGTTAAAGATACTTCTAGAAGGATGAATTTTGTTCCATCCTATAACTAGCACAAAGTATTCCTTAAAATGGCAATGCAACCAAAAACAAGGTGGTTGCTAAGGCGGCTTGAGGCAAACCTGAAGAGCAATCTTCAAAATAGTAGCCATCCAATTATTATCCCACCAGCATAAATACTGTTACAAATTACTTTTTTTATAAAGCAGACATCTTGTGCCTATGCCTATACTCATGCTCTTGCACACTTCAACCCCAAAGATTTTTTACCATTGCACTGGATGATAATGGCTCTATTATACCAAAAATTGGCATTAGTAAACAAATCTAATATTTGGTTGTATTGTTTTTATCCAAAACATTGCTCCTAATAAGTCCAAGTTAGATCCTAAATCATTAAAGTGTGTACTGGTTGGATATTCTTCACTTAAGAAAGGTTATAAATGCTATCATCCTCCTTCATAACGATTTTTTACCACTATGGATATAACATTTTATGAGCAGGGTCCCTATTTCACTCAGGCTGAAATTCAGGGGGAGACATAGAAGGATTTTCAACCACATCAGGTATCTCCTCCTACTCTTCATTCTCAACCTTCAGAATTGCCACCAATTTTGTCCTTACCTACAGATTTGTCACCTATAACTACTCCCATTGATCCACCGGTAGTACCTATCATTACTTCACCTATACCCACTTTAAATACCCTTCCTAAAAATACACCTACTCCCATTCAAAATATTCCACAAACAATACCAATCAAACAACTTCGTTTCTATACAAGGAAAAGAAAACATATTCCTGAGGCTGTTTTGCAATCTGATGCTTGCCGAGAATTGGATTTGGGTCTAGCTGTCGAAATAGAAGAATAAATCAGTAAGTCCACTTCCCCTACTCTAGATGACTTCCCAATTGCTATTAGAAAAGGGGTTAGACAGTGCACGAAGCATCCTATTGAAAAATTTGCTGGTTATAATTCAATGATGTCGTCTTTTCAAGCATTTACAACAAACTTGGATAAAGAACAGGTTCCCACAAGCATAGCTGAAGCTCTAAAGGATTCAAAATGGAGAAGGGCTGTTGAAGAGGAAATTTGTGCACTAGAGAAAAATGCTACTTGGACCGTTACGGACCTTCCTCGAGTAAAAAAGTTTGTTGGCTGTAAATGGATCTTTACTGTAAAGTATAACTCCAATGGTAGCATCCAACGATACAAAGCGAGACTAGTGGCCAGAGGCTTTACACAAACATATGGGATAGATTTCACAGAAACTTTTGCACCTGTGGTGAAGCTGAATACTGTTCGAGTACTCCTAAGTTTGGTTGTAAATTGTGATTGGAAATTACACCAACTTGATGTAAAAAATGCTTTTTTTAACGCAAGCTAAAAGAAGAAGTCTATATGAAGTTGCCACCTGGCTTAAAGTCTGTTTAAGGAAGTAACAAAGTGTGCAAGCTCAATAAGTCTCTATACGGGTTAAAACAATCACCTAGAGCTTGGTTCGAGAGGTTCACTAAAGTCATTCTAAAAAACGGCTACAAGCAGTCCCTCGTCAATCATACTCTTTTCATCAAGGTAACTTCTACAAATACGAAAGCTATCTTTATTGTGTACGTGGACGACATAATTCTTATCGGAGATGATGAAGAAGAGATTTGCAATTTGAAGAAGTTGTTAAATAAGGAATTCGAAACCAAGGACTTGGGAAAGCTAAGATATTTCCTAGGAATGGAGGTGGTAAGGTCAAAAGGACTTGTGATCAACTAAAGAAAATATGTACTTGATTTACTCATAGAAACTGGTTTTCTTGGTTGTAAGTCGAATGATACACCAATGGAGGCAAGCTTGAAATTTAACAAAGAAGATTGGTCCTTAGTAGACAAAGATAAATTTCAAAGATTAGTTGAGAAACTAATTTATTTATCCTTGACAAGGCCAGATATAACATTTCATGTAAATGTGATAAGTCAACACATGACTAATTCTACTGAAGAGCATATGGCAGCAGCAAATAAAATTTTCAAGTACTTGAAGAAACTCCAGGACACGATTTAATGTTTAAAAAGACACAAGACGAAACTGTTAAGATCTTTACAGATTCTAGTTGGGTCAGAGACCTTACTGAAAGGAGATCCACTAGTGGCTACTGCACCTTTGTTTGGGGAAACCTTACAACTTGGAGAAGTAAGAAGCAATCTGTTGTTTCAAGAAGTAGTGCTGAAGCTGAATTCAGAGCACTAGCATTGGGAATATGCGAAGGAATTTGGCTATTTAAACTACTGAAAGAACTTGTCACTAATCAAGATGATCACTTTGAAGTTTTGTGTGATAATCAATCTGCTATTCAAATTGCCAAGAACCCAGTTCAACATGATCGGACAAAGCATGTTGAGATTGATAGGCATTTTATTGTTGATCAAGTTAACAAAAAGACAGCCACACTTTCATACATTCCTTCAGAAGAACAAGTTGCAGACATTCTTACTAAGGCTTTACCAAAGCCTGTTTTCAATAAATTCCTGGGATTATACAATGTATATTCTCCAGCTTGAGGGGGAGTGTAGGAATTATAGAAATATATGATTCTGTAAATATCCTTTAATTAAGGGATTCTGTAAATATTCTACAACCCCTTATTTTAAGGGATCATATCTCCTAGGATTAGTATTTTTCCTTTCTTAGAGTTTCCTACTTTAGAGAGATGATTTGTATATAAATATGTAATCTATTCTATTGAAAAGAATAAGAAATTATAGAGAATTACTCTGATTTCTACAAGCCTGTCAACTCTGTAAAGTGAATAAATCATATAGAAAACAACATACCAATAAGAAGACTGAACAACGATTCCTGCTAACAAAATCCAGTTTGGGTTAAATTATTAAAAACAACTTAAACTAAAAGAATAAACTCTATTTTGGGGTTCAATTCATTGAAACTTATTAGGATGTCCAAGTTCCAATTAAACGAGGAAAATTAAACAGCCATTCCTAGAACACAGATGTAATATATAATATGATATAACCTAACTTGACAACCAGGCTTAACACAAACACAGAAAGTACCCCCTCCATCGCTGACAGAGAAAGAAACACCAAAATATGACTTAAGTTTAGCATGTTCCAATAAACAATGGGCAAACTGACCCTAAATCCTAACTTATCAACAAAATCCAAGAGGAAACAGAAAATCCATAAAAATGAAACAACAAGCTTCAAACTACAGTACTTGAGATTTTCTTCAAAACAAATCCATCACCCTCAAATTTACAATAAATCCCTCCACATTATCATAACAAAAGAGGTGTTATTCCATGTTATATAACTTCAAGTTGACACAGGAGGTTATATTATTATAATATTTTTATTTCACTTTTATTAAATATTAGAGATATTTTGGATGACTAGGATTATAAGTTTCCTTTATGTTTTAAATCAAGGGCTAGGAATAAATTATCTTTCTAACCCTGATATAAATAAACTGTAAAAACATTACAGCTACAAGTTATCACTATTATTTTCTTTAAATTAAAAGAAAACTAGAGTTTCCGTTAATCCTATGTTCTCTTTAGTTCCATCTTTCCTACTTGTTTGTTCAGCCTTAATCTTTTGATTACTATTGGTTTTCTTCTTAACCACGTCAATATTGATAATCGAAGCCTTGTTAGATAAAGGTTTAAAGTAAAATTTACTTTTAAGCCATGGTTGGATGTCATAGAGGCCATCCAAGAGGAAATCAATGTTAAGAGATGGATTTGATTGCAATACAATGTGTGATAGAAGAATTGTCACGTGCAATTCATAATAGGCCACGACAGGAACCGGTGGGAGCCCGGACCGATCACAATCAGTTATACTGGACGGTAGTTAAATTAAGGAATCTGATCTAAGAGACGAAGAAAACCCCTTCAATGATGCTGGGCATGTAAATCAGGCGGCAAGAGGCATGCCGGAGGAGCGGTTGGCACATGCCCTTGAATTAAATTGGGGCAAAATAGAATTGAAGTTACTGGCTTTCATCATAAGATGCGTGTAGAAGATTATTAGGATTGAGAAGCTAGTTTTGAGACTTAATTCGAGTGGAAGTCTATGGTAGAGGCTAGGAAGGTATTGTCTGTAAAGCTAAAACTGAAAGGCATTGCACTTCGATGGCGGAAGAGAGTTGAAGAGCAGTGTTCACGCCAATGTAAGCCAAAAATTAGCATATGGGAACACATAAAGGCAAAATTGAATAAACAATTCCTACTCATTGGTTAAGAATTGGAGTTACGTGAGAAGTTCCACTCATTAAGTCAAAAGGGATTCTGTAGAAGAGTACACCTTTGAATTTAACACTCGTTCTATTCTAGTTGGGTTGCTTGAGTTTAAGGAACATATGATGTCTCCTTATCTAGCAAGATTAAATCAGTCTGTTAGGGATGAGATGGGAGTGGTTCTATTATTCAACCTTAAAGATGCACAGCAACATGCTTTAATGGCTGAAAGAGTGTTCGGAGATATGGTGCAAGAAAGCATGTGTCCGGAAGAATTGAAGTAGAACAATGAGGGATTAAAGCTGTTCGAGGTGTTAAAATAAAGCAAACACCCTTCAAAAATCATCCTGAGGCTTCTTCTATGAATAGTGGTGAGGGAAATATTGGAAATCTTGAGAGAATTGACAAGGGGAAGGCAATAACGAGATTTGGACCTGAAATAGTTTGACAGAACGTCTCTAAGGCTAGTAGTGACTCTTAGATTCGTTGTTTCACTTGTGGTGAAAAAGGCCATAGTTCTTATTCTGGTCCTCAACGAAGGGTGATTTTGACCAAGATGGAAGAGCAAGAGGACATTGTCCTTGACCCCACTTTTTATGAGTAGGTTGAAGAGCATGAAGAAAATGATATGTACCCTGTTCAAGACGAATCTGTGATTGTTCTTAGAGTGTTGAGTGTAGACAACATCAACTAAAGGTGAACTAGAGGATTGAAGGTAACATAGCATTTTCCATATTGAGGTGCATTGTGGTGGAAAGGTTTGTGACTTGATTATTGATGGTGGTAACAGGAGCTTATATTTCTTAAAATATTTATTTATTTTAGTTTTATTAAATATTAAAGATATTTTGGATGACTAGGATTATAAGTTTCCTTTATGCTTTAAATCTAGGGCTAAGATTAACTTATCTTTGTAACCCTAACATAAATAAGCTGTAAAAGTATTACATCCACAACTTATTATTTTCTTTGAATTAAACGAAAACTAGTGGTTTCCTTTAACCCTTAAGCTTTTCCTGAGTTGCATCTTCTTTCCTACTTGTTTGTTTAACCTTATTACTTTTGATTACTGTTGTTTTCTTTTTACCCACAACACAAGTTCTATTGACATGAAAAATATAGTGAACAACTGATGGTAAAACCAATCTCAAGTTGAATTAATAAGCTGAAAGTATTACATCCTACAAGAATATTTTACACATTGTAGCACTAGACTACTGGAAAATGGAAGTAAACTGAAATAAAAGTAAAAGATAAATAAGAAAACTTACCTCACACATAAAGTCAGACATTCCTCTGAGATCCTTGTCCACCACTAAACTCAAATCCCATCCTTTAATCAGTTGTCACGTTTATGGAAGGCAGTTGTTGTCTGGTCAAGCTTTCTGACCGAGAAAACAGAAATAGCATTTACTTTTCAGCATCAAAGCACGAAACGCAATCTGCATCTATTTAACAGTAAACAAATAGCAAAAAATCATTATTTTCTCATCTAAATCTAGCTCCAAATCAACTTTTTTTCTCATAGAACAAACAACAGAATGATCAATCCTATTGACAGAAAAAATATAATATTTTAGGCGCAAATAATAGTATCAGATTTAACTTAACTTCTAGTCAGCAGTTTATCATTTTTTTAAAAACAATTTAAAGTTCTGTTTCATTTCAAGAATTTGTCAGCAGCTAAACAAAAATATAAATCAACAACCAAGCGAAATCTAAACAGATCGACTAAAAGAAAATTTCCGCAGGAAAAAAAAATAATACAAAAACGATCTCCGAACAAAATCTCACCTGAAACTGACAAATTTCACAAAAATAAAAATTCAAATACTCCAAAGATAACCAGATTTTTCACTAGTAAACGCACAACTTCACCAACAAAATAAATATCCGAAATCTACAGTACGCAGTTATTCACCAGTTAACCTAACCCGCCTTTTTTTTACCCGCGTTTGGTTTACGAAATGTAATATTACCAGTGGGAATAAAAGATTACAGGAATATGATTACTGAGAATTTTGTATTTTGTGTTTGGTTGGTTTAGCAGGAATATAAGATTACCGTGTTTGGTTAAAAGAATAAAAGATTATTGGAATGTGTATTTGACCAAATTGTCCTTATTATATATTTGTATAATATTATAAATTATAAAATATTTATATATTTTCTTTAAAAAATTAAATTCATAATATTTATATAATTTTTTTACAAAATTAAAAATATAAAAAAGGTTTAATGAAAGGGTAAATTTTTTTTAACCCCTGAACTTCATATAAAATTTTAATTATAGATTTTTTTTGTAAATATAAAATAATTTAAGGATAAATTTGTAATTTAACCTTCGTAGAATTTTTATTATTCAACGACAGAAGAATGATATTTTTGAAAAAAAATAAAAATTTAAGGGCATTTTAGTCCAAAACGTTGGTATTGTTCCAATACCTAAGGGAAGGAAGGTAATGACATTCTCGGTAATATACCCAAAAAATCTACTATTGATAATAAAATATTACCAGAAATAAGATTCCCGACCAACCAAACATGGGAATATGAAATTTCCATCTTATGAGAATCCTATAATCCTTGAACCAAACACCTCCTTAATTCAAAAGACGAGATTTCGGGAATGTAGAGAGAACAAATAGATTAATGAAATTTAATATTTTATTAATTATTAAGAGTTTAAGGACGACGCGTGGCGAGAAGGTGAGAACAACGGCGGAGCTAAAAGGGGCGTGATATCAAAATTCGTGGATGAGAGTGGGGGGGCGATGAGATCCGATCAGTTTCACTTTACGTGATTGGTCCACGTCTTTATAGTTCCTTAATGTCGACACGTGTCCCTAAAATCTTCAGACATGGTTTAGGGCCAACCACTTGTTGGTGGCTTGGTGCTGTTGGTTTTTTTTTTATTCTGCTCGCCCACCTCTCAAGGAGTCATGGTTGCATTGTATTGGATCTGGATGTAAGATTTTATATTAAATATTTAAATATTGAAGATGATATGTTAAAATATTATTTGATTAATCCGGATGATTATAAGTTGTACTATTATCTATTTTAAAGAATTTCAACCATTTGATAATCAATATTTAAATAATTTGTAATCGTTAACGTTTAAACTCGGAACCTCTAACTATAAAAATTATCTTTTTAACCACTAAAATCTCTTAATTTATACTTTGACATGTTAAAAGTTTAGAATGTATCAATCTTTAAAAGATTATATTAAAATTTAGAATATAAAAATTAAATAATTAATATAAAATTTAAAGAAAATATATAAACTGTATAAGAATTTAAAATTTAAAAAGAATGTGGCTGCCCAACACCCCTTACTAGAGAGTATTATATTATTATCAAAATTCCAATTAATTTAGTAAGAGTTGGCAACCTAGAAGATGTTTTGTAAAACCATGCTCTATGGGATGATCGTTTTACCTGCTTTGGTTGAGTTAATTTTTATTTTAAAATTTTAAATTCGAGTCTGACTAAAATTTTTAAACTTGTAGTCAAGTCAAGTTAGATTCATGTTTAAAGTGAAAATTTTGACCTAACCTAATAAAATATTATAATTATATCTTATATTTTTAGGAATGATTGTAATAGTATCTTTTTCTATGTTATTATTTGCCATGGTTTTCAGAACCGGACCGGTTAGCGAATCGGTCATGCTACCAGTTCACTGGTTCAACCGGTCCGATCGGTCGGAAGAACCGGACGACGTCATAATTATTTAAAAACATTAAATAAAAATACCAAAAATATTTAATAAAAAATATTTTTTTATATCACAAGTCATATTCAAAGCAAGTCATAACATATATAAATTAAAAACCATAAAATCAAGTGAAACAAAATGATTCAAATTAACTACAACATAATATTTAAGGTAAAACATATTAAATAATAAATATAATTATATAACTATAATTAAAAAAAATTTGGGGTTAAAAAAATCATAACAAAATGATATTGTTTGGTTTAATTTTTTTTAAAAAACAATCCCACATGGCTAAGAAACATAGAAGAGAATCCTAAAAGTCTAAAGAATAAAAATATGAGAACAAAACAATCTCATATTGCTAAAAAACATAGAAGCGCATCACAACTAACTTCTATAAATAATATAGGTAATTTGGCATTCAAAATCATGGAGCCTTTTGTGAGCATTGAGTGAACTATTTTTTCACTTCAATCAAGCTCGAATTTTAGGTTTCAATCGAGCTTCTAATTTTTTTTTTAGTTTAAGCCTTTTTGAGTTCAAGTTTCAATATTATATTTCGAGTTTGAGTTGAACTTGATAATTTTTATCTTGTGAGTTTGAGTTGAGTTGAGCTTACTTTTAAAGTTTTCAAGTTCGAGTCATCAACAATACTCGAGTTCGACTTGGCTCGTTTAACAAACGACGTTGTTTGGTTTAATTTTTTTTAAAAAAACAAAAATCCCGGCTTTTTCCGGTTTTCAGCCGGTCCGGTTCGAACGGTTCAGCAGTTCTGGCCGGTTCACTAATAGCGGTTCAACCGGTTTAGATTGAACCGGACTAAGCAACGATTCCCGGTTAAAACGGCCGGTCCGGTCCGATTTTCAAAACAGAGTTATTTGCAATTAGGTCCTTATTTAACCTAATAAAAATGAGTTTTGTATATATAGGTCGAATCAGGTGCGAGTTTTAATCCTCAAAATCAGGTCAAGTTTCACGTCAAGTGAAATCCTCCTAAAGCTCAATCAGATACAAGTGTAAGAATTTTATTTTTAAGTCAAATTCGAATGGGCAAAAGTCCGACTCGACCCCTGACTATCCCTAATGCCTATGCAAGCTGTTAAAAATGACATCCACGTTGGGGGAACCCTAACAACTCGTATACATTGTACAATTTTCAAAATAAACAAAGATATTTTGACATCCAATGCATAGAGATAAATAAAGACAACAGAATAATACAATGTTCAAAACTTAAAGCAACTCTGAATCAAAATTGTTTTATTCTTTACACTCTCTTCAGAGAAGATGGGCAACAACACATGTTCACCATTTCCTTTTTATGGTTAAATCCACCAGAACAACAAGTAAAGAAAAAGCATTGCTTCTTACAGCGAGACAAGGGCAATTTACATCACTTCTTCAGAAGCTTTGAGAGAAAATCCTCTTGGAATATGGGCTGTTCCGAGAGATTGCTTTCCGGGATCCAATTGCTTCGACAAGTGAGTTGTGCAGAGGTCCCTGACATAGAAAACAAGAGCCGGATCACCGACAGAGACGCCGAAAGAAACCAATGAGAACATTGGCCCCGTCTCTAATATGAATATTGACCAAGACATGATCCTAATGCGGAATCGAGTTTGCGCTATTGTATGAGCATATATTTTCAACCAAAACAATGTGTTGTACATGTAGCAGGTACTTGGTAGTCGGTACAAAAAAACCAAGTGTGGTTCTCTTTTGCGGTATCGATCATTTTTATTCAGAAAAATAGTGTTAATTGAGGGATCATTGCGTTAATAAAAGGAAGAGTATTGACTTTACAACCTTGGACTCACGGAGAGCGGTTTGCACAACGTAGTTTGCATGCGGATCTTGTAGCAACCGTTCGAAGTGAGTAGCAGAGAGCAATTCACGAATGATTCTTGCCCGGCTCTCGTCATTTAATACAACAAGACACCTTTCAACCACATGACTGCTGAACTTTTGCGACGAGAGGTGCACATAGTTCCCTTTGAATTGAGAAATCAAAGTTGAAGTGGCAGATGGGATTTTTAACTCCAAGATAAACTGAACAACATAATTTCTGCAAAATGAAAAAAACGTAAATCTGCAGTGAAAAGAATGGGATAAATTTTATACCATAACAGAAAAAGTATCTATCATAAACTTCATTACAGGGGCCACTGGTCCCCAATTATACATAATGGACAAACCAGTCTTAGGCCAATGAAGTATTCCACAAATGGTAAAAGAAACAAACCAGATCCCATTTCAACAAATAGAAAAGCTTACACAGTTTCTAAGACTTATTTTTGCCATCGTTTTTGTAATGTAGACAAACAAAAGATGACACCCGTGGACCAAACCAACTGTTTAGGCCACCACGAGGCGCAAAAGAACAAGTTTCCTTGAGATGTCGAAAAAAGGGGAAAGGAAGAAGTGATTCATTAACATTAGTGATAAACATTGAAGGGCCTAGAGATGATAAACATTTGTTTTTGAACTACAATATGAGCACTAGACCACACAAGGACTAAATAGCGAAGGACTACCACCATCCCAGAGTTTTTCCTTCCACGCCTTCTGTATTTATAGTTGACCAATGAGTTTGGCTATTCGGCAAACTAGAAATTCTTATAATTACGTGCATATCTATACATTAAGTTATGTATGTCGAGCTTATCTGTTCTTTTTCCTAGAAAAAACTGAGCTGAGAGCTAAACCATGGGTAAAACTGCATTTCCCTTGTAAAAAAAATTTCCCGAGTGATGGTTGATAATTAATCAATTATAGACTAAGAATATAGTACTAATACTTACCCATATGCGTCCTGTGCAAGAAGAAGCCCATTGGTGGATATTTCTTCAACCAACATTTCTCGATATTCCCCAGTTGAGTGGCTAATGCATCGTTGCAAGACGCAACAGCCATGTTGATGGGTTGCAATATCAACACAGTACTTTGCAGCAGCAACAAAGATAAACTGCCAAAACAGTCAGATGAAAATTGTGAAATATCTGTAGAGGAGAGTAACGAGTCCGGGAAAAAACTGAACAGTCAAAATGAACGAGCACTTGTGCATCATTATCTTAACTGAATTTTAGATAAAACTACCAAGTTACATAGAAGGAAACCCTAATAAATCAAGTAGTTTGGCACCAACTACAACATCTGCAAGAAATAGCTAACAGGCAGCACAATGTACATTGACAGCAAAGATAAACGCAGCACTATTTTGCATCAAGTTTGCATTACTTTTCATGGTTCCAAAGACTAGTTGCTGTTATATTGCCGGATTAATTTTCAGCCCGCTTAAGCTTAAGACATCTAACCCTTTATCAAAAAAGGAAAAAGCATAGTCAGATATTATCGAGGACTGCTAATGTCTTGACTTCAGAGTTCAGAAACCAATTAATGATTAACCGAAGAATGTGACCTCTACAGGGACAGCCCACATGACTTGCAGTTATGAAGCACATGCCTTGCAATGCATTGCCTCGAAAGAGGAAGTAAACAAATGTCCTTGGCTTCTGTCAAACTAAGGCTCAATCTACTTGTGATTAAAGGGATACTATCCATTATGACATGTATTCATGCAGACCTCAAAACAGACATTCCGGTACCGAACTTGTACAAGAAAAATAACACATCATAAATTAATGCTCAGCAACTCAGCATATGGAAGGCATACCTTGTTATCTTCACTACTAAGACATTGCAAGCAACGCAGCACAACATGATTTCCATTAAGGTCCTTTATGAGAGATAGGAACCCAGGCTCAAGGGCAGATATAACCAGTGAAATCTGCTGCTTGGTTTTGAGAGTCTCGATCAACTTTTGAACTACACGAGTGCTAAAAGAATGAAAAACAATGTGAGAACCTGTGGATATGAAAATATTATATACACACACACACACACTCTTATATATATATGTGTGTGTGTGTGTGTGTTGCAATGTGTCAGACATACCCATGAGTGTTCAGAGATATTTGACAAGTTGCCCTGGTTCTTCAGTAACCATTAATAAAATCTGCATTCTCTGTTCTTCATTACATACTTCTAATAACTTCTGCATGAGATAGTTCCCAAAAGGGTTCATCATAAGTTCAACTACATGATCAATGATCTCCTTAAATATTATTCGCACATCCAGTTGGGAACCCTCATCAAATACCCGCTGTAAGAACCGACAGCCATGTTGATCTTTTGCTATTAAGTATATGTATCCATGAGCTTCTGCCAAAGAGTTACACTTTGGTGGCAAAGAGAAATGGCTATATAACTTAGAATTCTCAACATTTCCACGAGCTGCTTCCATTTGAGACCAACCATTCAGTTGTGACCTTCTCTCTTGACGCTCACTCGCACCGATCTCCTGCAGAAAACCCTTGTTTTGCTCCCTTGGACAATCAATTCCCTTATGGACCATATAATTTAAATTCTCCCCTTGAATAATGAAACTATCTTCTCTAGTAAAAGCCTTGAGACCTTCGAGTGGGATTCTAGCATTTGAGTGTCCTCTAGCCATCCCATTGGCTTGTGGCAGCCCACGATGTAGCAGATTTTCGACACTTGCACGAGGGGTTGCTTGAATCAACCTAGGAGAAGCATGACCTCCGTTCCAATTCAGACCGTTTCGTTTTCCATGGACTAAAGCATCGTTCACCGAAAGCTTACTCATAGAAGCCCTTAAGTTCAATACAGAATCTCCATCCTGGTGGTGATAATTACATGTATGTTCCTTTTTCTGCCAAGGAGATCCCATTGCACCACTCCAACAACCCATTCCCTGATCAGAAATCAAACCATCATGGGGAAACGCCATATTCATCCCACCATTGAAATTCAATGGAGCACTCATTGGAACAGTGGGCTGAATTCCTATAAAACCAGGAAACCCCTTCCTTATTCCGTCACCGGCCCTGTACTTCTCAACATTGATCGGATTATTGAGTAGGATCACATCGGATTCGAATGGAAAATCTCTAAAACTGGAATCAACCTTCTCTTGATCATTTCTAATATACATTTTACTACGATTTCTAAACAGACCAAATTCACCAATCAAGCCATCACTAGTACTACTGGCTCTGTCCCTGACAGCCGAATCCATGACCAGTGCAGCGGGCAAGTGCTGCGGCTTAAGGTCTTGTAATGGAGGTGATCCTTTTTCAGAAAACAGACTCGAGGAAGAACCATCCGAGTGTAAAGAGAAACCGCTTACAGGGGAAACACATGTATGCTTATGATAACGACTTGACGTTCCTTCGTACCTAAGGCCATACATGCCATTAAATGACTCATTCACATGATTATCATCACGTTTCTTATGTTGATGATGTGATGTTGCATGAGGGATCTCACCTAACAACATTTCAAACTCCTCATCATCCTGCATGTTTCCTCTCTTCTTCTTCCCGATCTCAGATATTGCTTCCAACACACATAAAAGAGAACACCAAGAAACAATCAAGACGCCCACATCAGATACAAATTTAAAAACACTTAAATAACAAATACCCAGAATGAACTTCGCTCAGATTTTGAAAACAAACATCAACAGAGGAAATGGAAGATTGAAGAGTTGGTGAAAATAATTTAAATTTGGGTTTTGGGTTTTCTTCTTTGAAGAGTTCGTGAAGCATGCTAAGATTGAAGGAGATCACATCACCATACGGTTACTCTAACAACCGTAGAAATATATACATACACTCTCCCTATTCTACTGTCTCACGCCATTAAAGCTGGGCTTGTAGAGAAGAACAAAACAAAACGCTATTTATATTTTGCTCCCATACCCCTCTCAACAACTGTACATATAATATTAAAGCACTATATATGATTTTGAATATAAAACTTATTTACAAATTTATAAATAAACAAAGACTTGATGAAAAAATATTTTTATCTTTAACCTATAGAATGTTCGCATCGATAAAATAAAGGTTTCGTTCTTTTTTAAAAGATTTAAGTTCAAACAAATATGTACGTTGTTTGTGCGTTGTCTATGACAAAAAAAAATATTGTGATCATATATTTACTCATAATTACCTCATATTATTTAAAAAATATATTTTATCTCTTGATCATAACTATTTTTAGTTATTTATTGAGAAATCTATTGTGTTACCGTAAAGTTGAATGTTATTTTTTAGAACACTCGAGTTTGAGTAGTTGTGAAGTATAAGTGAATTGTCAATAGATTACGAAAATTTTAAACAGATAATATTTTATAATCATCTTATATTATTTTAAAAAAATAATTATATTATGAAATAGTTATTATGATTGATGTTTTTATTAAATTTAAATTAATTAAAAATTAATATTTATATTATAATAAAGTCGCATATAAAACTATGAATTTAAGTTAAAATATTAATATTTAATTCAATATAATTTAAAATAATAGGTAAAATTGGTCCAATTTATTGCTTAAAATATCAGGGTCAGTTATTTAGATATATTTCAGTATTTTTCATATTTGCAATGCCTAATTTACTAAATATAACTGCAACTTTTAACTTCCAAAAATAGCCTACTACCATTTTTTTTTTAAAAATGTATTAAATTCGATTTTTTAAAAAAAATCCAAGTGATAAGATTAAGCTACAATATTTTAATAACAAATTAATAAAAAGATAATTATTTTGATAATTAGAATTTAGAATTGATATTAATTTTATTATATAAATTTTAAAATTGTTATTTTTAAAACGTGAATTTAACATAATAAAAATAAGACATGGCATATGCTCGCTGCTCTCTCGGGCTTCTTTCTTTCCAAGTAATTTTTCAGTTGAGCGACCTTTTGGCTACTACTTAAATAGGCAATAAATTATTTAGCCTACGCTCTCACTCGTTTACGTGAAGTACAAGCTCTTACCTATCCATTTTTTAAAGTTTTTCTTTTTTTTTTAAAAAAAAAGATTACAATATATGGGTGTTTTACTGTTTTAGTTATTGAGGTCAATTTAGTTTTACTTTTCAAAAGTTTGGTGAAAAATATTTTTTAAAATGATTTTGAAATATTCAGTTTAAAATTGAAGTGATTAGTATTGTTATTAAGATGTGTTTTAAGAAAATAAATGACTATTTTAAAATTTAAATATGATGTTGTAATCTATATATATATATATATATATATATATATATATATATATATATATATATATTTAAATTTTTAAATATTACTAATATGTAAAAATCAACTTAAATTACCATAGAAATATTTTATAAAAATTATAATGAGGATACGTGTTCTATAAACTATGTAGAATTTTAAGGAAAATATTTAAAAGGTTGATATTTTAGGGTTTTTTAGCCCAATAGGACAAACACATAAATTATTTGAGAATATAGACAAGTAAAAGTTTATTTTAATATCTACGATATTTTCTACAGTGTTTATAGAACCAGTCACTTCAACGTAATGAATTACAATAAAAATGTTTTTTATTTAAACTTATCACCTTAAGATGACAATTCTAATAAAATGTAATGTTTTTATTAAAATTTATAATATCGAGGTAAAAATTTGAATAGAAATATTTTTTTATTAAACTCGTCATCTAAACGAGATAAATTCTATGCATAGTAGGAAATGTTGTAGAAAATAAAACTGTGTGCCCTATTTACACAAAAGAAAATGGGGCTGCCCTGTTGGGCCAAAAAAACCCGTTGTATTTGACAACAGCAATGGCATACAATGGTCTCTTTCATTTTAGACTTGTTAATCAGTTGGATTGGATTAACTATTGTTTAAAATTGGATCATTTAGTTTTAAATTATTTTATCTCTAAGCTATTTAGATTTAAAGCACTAAGAAAAATACGAATTATATAGAGATCCAATATTGGAGCTAAATTTTCAATTCAATTTATTCCATTCGCAAATACCAACGGGTTGTTAATAGATTTCATATTTGAATGATAATCGATAGATTTAATAATATATGACATTTAATTTAAGGCCAAATTACCCATTTAATACATAAATTATCAATTTTAACATGTTTTAATACCTAAACTTTCAATTTTTTTAAAACCATAACGTTAATTTTCATTTTATTGTAACATCTCTCCATTAAAAATTTAACATGTTTAGTATATAAACTATCAATTTTGATCTGTTTTAGTACCTAAACTTTCTTTTTATTCAAATTTAACATAAAATTTTAAACGAGTACTAAAATGAAGCAAAAACTAAAATTTTTAATGGCGGGTGAAACAAAAATTAAAGTTTAGGTGTTAAAACGGGCAAAAATTGATAGTTTAGGTGTTAAAAGTATAATTTACCCTTAATTTAACCTTACCAATTAAAAGAAAAATGAAAATAAAGAAAATAAGCCCAAGCTTGATAGGATATAAATAGTTTGGATTAGTAGTAGTGAGGCTGAGAAACAGACAAGCGGGAAGTTATGGAGAAGATGAGGGCAAAAGAAGCAAATGGCTTCAAATCTAGAATTCTCTACAGAAAGTACTGCTTAACGAGTCATTTTTGTGGACGAAGATACCTTTTTCCCCAAAGCCCCTCACCTCGGAACAAGCCCGAACCATTAAGGTTGCTCTTCATAGCTGAATTCCTAATCTGGGTTTTTGTTAGTAATTTGATCTACAATCAATTAGTTCGGTGGATCAATGGCAGCCTCCATTTCATACTTACTGATGTGGTTGAATGTATGTTCTCCAACAAAGGGTGGAGAGGTTGATGCTGCTGTTTCAGCCCCTTCAGGGAAACGACTGCCTGAGGCCGCCCAAAGGCGGCTGAATTGCGCGCTCTGGAGATTACAAAAGTGCTCGACAACACAAGAAGTAAATCCCAATCTCAATCTGTGTTATACCTAGTTTCGTTTCTGGCTGCTATATCAAAACAATGATCGGTTAGTTTCTCCTTTTTCGGTGCAGAAGTATTTTAAGTTTAATAATCAGGAAACGTGATCTTGGTTGGTAAAATAAACCAAGGACAAAATCATTTTGTTTGGGTACAAAAGAAACCGTAGCCTCCTAAGAATGACTTCAATTCGCAACCAACTAGGCTAAGTCTTAGAGTTCGAGATCACTATAACCACAAACTGTAGAATGTTAGATCTCAAATGCAAATAACATTCGAGGAGCCTGTCCTATGAAACATACTTCAAGATGAAAATTTCACACACCTTACTGTACAGCTTGTACAACATCCTACACTGCAGCGGCTACTTTCGATTTATGCAGATGCAACCTCCTTAACTTCGTCATATGTTCCAGTTGCCTCATTAAAGGAATAACTATATCAGCAGAAGAGATAAGACAGATGAGGTTCTAAAGCAGGCATATGCAGAATGTAACCAGGCAAACCACAAACTGAAAACCAGCTTACGATGCCAACGCATTATTCAACTGAATTAATTAAACATGCAATTTCTAAATTTTTTCACTGTTCTAGCTTTGCCAAACAAGTTAAAGAGAACAATTTGTAAGAAAAAACGGTAATGAAAAGCATCCATCGTCCAATGGATTCAGATATTATAAAATTACTTCTGGCTAATTAATGATAATAGATATCTTACAAGTTTACTTTCTAACTAATTAACATTACCCTAATAATCTAAAACGAAAACTCATCAAGTGGCCTCAGTGGTAAAAGGGAATATTGTTCTCCCTAAAGGTCATGTTCCTGTTGAAAAATAAACAAGTGGCCAAGCCACTTTCGGTGGCAGCCACCAATTTTGTCAAAAAGGATTGGCTATTTGTTGAAAATCAATAATGGTAAAATCTCAATTTTAGTCATTGTAATTTAGGGTATTTACTAATTAGTCCTTAAGCTTCAACTATAAATACCTTAGCTCATTTAGCTTCAAAACCATCCCAAAGCATTCTAGCTTTCTTCCAATACTAGAGAGAATTTAGAGAGTTTCTTGAGAGTTGTTTTCTCCTTTTTATCAAGAGAGAATTATCATTGTTTTCTCCTTGGTAGATTGAGAGAAGTTGTAATTCCTATTTTCTCATAGTGAAATTCTTCTACCGTTGCCCGTGGTTTTTACCCTATTTAATTTAGGGGTTTTCCACGTAAATTTTATGTCTCTTTTTATCTTCATTTTTATTTTCTCAAATTATCAATTGCGATTTTTCTCTATCCGATAGCCGTCTTCCGCAACAATTGGTATCCGAGCTAGATTAGAGTGTGTAATATCTGCTTATTGTCTTTTGTTGTTGCCACCAAAAGGTGGATCCTCCAACATAAGAAAGTAAGAAGGTATTACACATTCTTTGAAGGTTCCAGAGAATTATTCACGATAGTGAAATAGTGGGAGCAATCCGTAAACGAAGCAATGGCAACGAAATTTGATATTGAAAAGTTCAATGGGAGAAATTTCTCATTGTGGAAATTGAAGATGAAGGCCATCATGAGGAAAGACGGTTGTCTAGCAGCTATCAACGAAAGGCCAGTAGATTTCACAGACGGCAACAAATGGATCGAAATGGACGGAAATGCTATGGCAAACTTTCATCTAACATTAGCAGATGAAGTATTGTCAAGTATCGAGGAGAAGAAGACAGATAAGGAGATATGGGATCATCTCACCAAACTGAGGCCACATCGTTGCACAATAAAATTTTCCTTAAGAGGAAATTGTACACTCTCCGTATGCCAGAATCTACTTCAGTGACGGAGCAATTAAACACACTGAACACGTTATTTTCACAGCTTACATCATTAAGATGTACAATAGGAGAACAAGAATGTGCTGAACTTCTACTTCAAAGTCTACCTGATTCGTATGATCAACTCATCATCAACTTGACAAACAGTAATGTCACCAGTCTAGTCTTCAATGACGTTGCAGCTGCTGTTCTCCAAGAAGAAAATCGGCGCAAGAACAAGGAAGACAGACAAGTAAATCTGCAACAAGAAGAGGCATTGATAACGATGAGAGGGAGATCAACAGAACGTGGCCAAAGCAGTAGTCACAAACATGGTTGATCAAAGTCGAGGAGCAAGAAGAATTTAAAGTGCTACAACTGTGGAAAGAAGGGTCACTTGAAGAAGGATTGTTGGAGTCTAAATAAAAACTTCAATCTAAAAGGTAATACCGCAAACACTTCAGATGATGGAGATGCACTATGATGTGAAGCGTCAACCACCGTGGAAGGAAGAAAAAGATTTGCAGATATATGGCTCATTGATTCAGGAGCAACATATCACATGACCTCAAGAAGAGAATGGTTCCATCAGTATGAACCTGTCTCAGGAGGATCTGTGTATAGTTGCAATGATCATGCCTTAGAGATCATTGGCGTAGGAACCATCAAATTGAAGATGTATGATGGAACAATTAAAGTTGTTCGAGATGTGCGGCACGTGAAAGGCCTAAAGAAAAATTTATTATCCTACGAATTATTAGATAATAATGCAAGAAAGATTGAAACACGGAAAGGAATCATGAATGTGTTCCGTGGAGCGCTTGTGGTGCTGAAAGGCGAAAAGATAACAACAAACTTGTACATGCTGAAGGGAGAGACATTGCTAGAAGCAGAAGCCTCTGTTGCCTCATGTAGTTCAGATTCTGCAATGCTATGGCATAAGAAACTTGGACACATGTCAGAACAAGGAATGAAAGTCCTTGTGGAGCAAAAATTACTTCCAGGCTTAACAAAGGTATCACTTACTTTGTGTGAGCATTGCATAACAAGTAAGCAGTATCGGTTGAAATTCAACACATCAAATTCTAGAGGCAAAAGTATTCTAGAATTGGTTCACTCTGACGTATAGCAAGCACCAGTAACATCCCTAGGCGGAGCAAAATACTTTGTCTCATTTATTGATGACTACTCTAGGAGATGTTGGGTGCACCCTATTAAGAAGAAGTCAGACGTATTTTCAACTTTCAAAAACTTTAAAGCGCGGGTGGAACTTGATTCTGGAAATAAAATAAAGTGTTTCAGAACAGATAATGGAGGAGAATACACAAGTGAAGAATTTGATGACTTTTGCAGGAAAGAAGGCATCAAAAGACAGTTCACAGTGACGAGCACTCCTCAACAAAATGGAGTGGCAGATCGGATGAACAGAACCTTGTTAGAAAGAACAAGAGCAATGTTGAGGGATGCAGGCCTAGAAAAATCATTCTGGGCAGAAGCAGTCAATACCACATGTTATTTGGTGAATCGAGCTCCATCAACTGCAATAGAGCTGAAGACACCAATGGAGAAGTGGACTGGTAAACCAGCTGATTATTCAAACCTCCATGTATTTGGAAGTATTGTGTATGTGATGTACAACTCCCAAGAAATTTCAAAGCTGGATCCAAAATCTAGGAAATGCAAATTCTTGGGGTATGCTGATGGTGTAAAGGGGTATCGCTTGTGGGATCCTACTGACCGCAAAGTGATCATTAGCAGGGATGTTATCTTTGTAGAAGATAAGTTACAAAGAAAAGAAGATGATGATAGCGCTGAAAAGTCAGAGACTACACAGATACATGTGGAAAATGAGGTTGAACAAGGAGATTCTTCTGAAGCAGAACCAGCACATGATGAACAAGAACCAGGGAGTTCTGAAGTTCCAACAACTCGTCAATCAGATCGTGTGAGAAGACGTCTCAATTGGCACTCAGATTATGTTATAGAAGGTAATATTGCATACTGCCTTTTAACAGAGGACGGTGAGCCATCAATATACCAGGAGGTAATACACAACTCAGATGTTTCACTGTGGATGATGGCGATGCAAGAAGAAATCGAAGCCCTTCATAAAAATAATACATGGGACCTTGTGCCACTACCACAAGGAAGGAAGCCAATTGGTAACAAATGGGTTTTCAAAATCAAGCGAAATGGTGACGATCAAGTGGAGAGGTATCGTGCAAGACTGGTGGTCAAAGGATATGCTCAAAAAGAATGTATTGATTTCAATGAAATATTTTCTCCTGTGGTTCGACTAACAACAGTTCGAGTAGTTTTGGCAATGTGTGCTACATTGAACTTACATCTAGAGCAGCTAGATATTAAAACAACTTTTCTTCATGGAAATCTTGAAGAAGAAATTTATATGCTCCAGCCTGAAGGTTTTGAAGAAAAAGAAAAGAAGAACTTGGTTTGCAGGTTGAACAAATCTCTATACGGTCTAAAGAAGGCGCCGAGGTGTTGGTATAAGAGATTTGATTCCTTCATTATGTGCCTTGGATACAACAGACTTAATGCAGACCCTTGTGCTTATTTCAAGAGGTCTGGTGATAACGATTTTGTTATATTGCTGTTGTATGTGGATGACATGTTGGTTGCAGGACCCAACAAAGATCATATTGAAGAATTGAAGGCACAACTGGCTAGGGAATTTGAAATGAAGGACTTGGGATCAGCAAACAAGATTCTAGGGATGCAAATTCACCGAGACAGAAGTAATAGGAAGATTTGGCTTTCACAAAAGAATTACTTGAAGAAGATCTTGTCACGATTCAACATGCAAGATTGTAAGCAAATTTCTACCCCTCTTCCTATTAACTTCAAATTATCCTCCAGTATGAGTCCTAGCAGTGAAGAAGAGAGGATGGAGATGTCTCGAGTACCGTATGCATCAGCAGTGGGAAGTTTAATGTTCGCTATGATATGCAAAAGACCAGACATTGCACAAGCAGTGGGAGTGGTTAGTCGGTACATGGCGAATCCAGGCAAAGAGCATTGGAATACAGTAAAGAGGATCCTAAGATACATCAAAGGGACCTCAAATGTTGCATTATGTTACGGAGGATCAAACTTACTAATCAATGGGTATGTAGATTCTGACTATGCAGGGGATTTGGATAAAAGCAAATCTACAACATGATATGTGTTCAAAGTTGCTGATGGAGCTGTAAGCTGGGTTTCTAAATTACAGTCAGTTGTGGCTACATCCACAACAGAAGCAGAATATGTAGCAGCTACACAAGCCAGTAAAGAAGCAATTTGGTGGAAGATGTTATTGGAGGAGCTTGGGCACAATCAAGAGTATATCTCTCTGTTTTGTGACAGTCAAAACGCCTTGCATCTAGCAAGGAATCCAACATTTCATTCAAGGACAAAACACATACGAGTTCAGTACCATTTCATTCGTGAAAAGGTGGAAGAAGGGACAGTAGATATGCAGAAGATCCATACCAAAGACAACATAGCAGATTTCATGACAAATGCGATCAACACTGATAAATTTACATGGTGTCGATCTTCTTGTGGCCTGTCAGAGACATAAGAAACATGATGGTACAAGGTAGAAAGAATGGTGTGAAGATATGATTGTTCCAATCAAATCTTCAAGTGGAAGATTGTTGAAAAATAAATAAGTGGCCAAGCCACTTTCGGTGGCAGCCACCAATTTTGTCAAAAAGGGTTGGCTATTTGTTGAAAATAAACAATGGTAAAATCTCAATTTTAGTCATTATAATTTAGGGTATTTATTAATTAGTCCTTAAGCTTCAACTATAAATACCCTAGCTCATTTAGCTTCAAAACCATCCCAAAGCATTCTAGCTTTCTTCCAATACTAGAAAGAATTTAGAGAGTTTCTTTAGAGTTGTTTTCTCCTTTTTATCAAGAGAGAATTATCATTGTTTTCTCCTTGGTAGATTGAGAGAAGTTGTAATTCCTATTTTCTCATAGTGAAATTCTTCTACCGTTGCCCGTGGTTTTTACCCTATTTAATTTAGGGATTTTCCACGTAAATTTTGTGTCTCTTTTTATCTTCATTTTTATTTTCTCAAATTATCAGTTGCGATTTTGCTCTATCCGATAGCCGTCTTCCGCAACAGTTCCGCTATTTTTCTTTTGCAAATTAAGTACTCTTCAAATTGACAGGTGAACCACCAATGATAACCTAGGAGTTGGTATTATCTATGAATGAACCAGTATAAGTGAAAAATGCAAAACACGTCTACCAGAAAAGAAAAATTACCATTGCCCTGATACTGCTGAGCAAAAGAGTCCTGTAGATGGGTCATAATAATATCCCAAAGTGCTACTGTAGTAGTACCTGAAAAAAAACCAGATAAGATCAATATTACCCAACAATCCAACACCAAGATACATATTTATTTATTAACAATTCTGCCTTCAAAATATCTATGACTGCTGCATAAATCACGACAAAACCCTAGAAAAGGAACTCCTGATGTAACATCCTAATTTAGGGGCTAAATTTAAGAAATTATAAAGTGGTGAATTTAATTGGAATTTTGGAAGAAATTGAGGATTAAATTGAATAATTTCAAAGTTGGCAGACCGTTTTAAGAAGTGAAGAAAGTTCAATGGCTAAACCCATGATTTAACTATTTTTTTATATATGTTGAATTATAAAGAGAAAATAACCTCAGTGACCAAAAATACCTTATAATATACGATTTTAACCAAATTTTTTTAGATTTGCCAAAATGAAAAACTAAATCGCAATGCGATCGATAATTCGCAACGCGAATTTCGACTATCGCAACGCGAACTTCGACTATCGCATTGCGATTTACATATTCGCATTGCGATAGTCCAAGTTCGCGTTGCGATAGTCGAAGTTCGCATTGCGATTTTCCAAATTCGTTGCGGTAGTCTAAGTTCGCGTTGCGATAGTCCAAGTTCACGTTGCGATTTTTCAAATTCTTTGCGATAGTCAAAGTTTGCGTTGCGATTTATTCTAAGTTCGTTGCGATAGTCGAAGTTCGCGTTGCGATAGTCCAAGTTCGCGTTGCGATTTTCCAAATTCGTTGCGATAGTCGAAGTTCGCGTTGCGATTTATTCCAAATTCGTTGCGATAGTCGAAGTTCGCATTGCGTTATTCCAAATTCGTTGCGATAGTTGAAGTTCGCGTTGCGATTTATTCCAAGTTCGTTGCGATAGTCGAAGTTCGAGTTGCAATTTATTCCAAATTCGTTGCGATAGTCCAAGTTCGCGTTGCGATTTTCCAAATTCGTTGCGATAGTCCAAGTTCGCGTTGCGATTTATTCCAAATTCGTTGCGATAGTCCAAAATCGCAACGACTGTTGGTATTGCATTTGTTTCTTAAGAATTTTCTCTAAAAAGATAGTATTCGCGCGGACGTGTCGAAGACACGTATTACCACGACCACGACCCGACCCGAGACGAGACGGACGGCGGCGGCGCGCGAGAGTCCCCCTTGTTCTCTATCACTCAACAAGAAAGTGGGAAAGCCAAGCCTTAAATACCATTCCCAATAGTGTTTCCAATACTATGTGGGATTGAGCATTACCAACACTTGTTTCCAATACTATGTGATTATTCAGGAAACAATTAACAATCATGCACCTTAAAATAGCTGAATCAACAACCAATTGCATTAGTATTATACGATTAAATATGTCATAATTAAAAGTCAATCTACAATCAATCGCGATTATTGCAATTTTAAGCAAAACATTCAAAAATAATATCACTATTTAAGGCTCAATCCCACATAGTATTGGGAACAAGTGTTGGAAATGCTCAATCCCACATAGTATTGGAAACACTATTGGGAATGGTATTTAAGGCTTGGCTTTCCCTCTTCCTTATTGAGTGATAGAGAACAAAGGGGACTCTCGCGTGCCACCGTCGCCGCCGTTCGTCTCGGGTCAGGTCGTGGTCGTGGTCGTGGTAATACGTGTCTTCGACACGTCCGTGCGAATACTATATTTTTAGAGAAAATTCTTAATAAACAAATGCAATACCACCAGTCGTTGCGATTTTGGACTATCGCAACGAATTTGGAATAAATCGCAACGTGGACTTCGACTATCGCAAATCAGTTTCCAGATTCGCAACGCGAACTTCGACTATCGCATCGAAGTTCGCGTTGCGAATCTGGAAACTGATTTGCGATACCGGAGACCGCGTTGCGAATTATCGATCGCATTCCAATTTAGTTGGTCATTTTGGCAAATAAAAAAAATTGGTTAAAATCGTATATTATAAGGCATTTTTTGTCACTGAGGTTATTTTCTCAATTATAAATCTCTCCCCCGTCAATTTCCAGAATGATTTTTCCAGTTTTTCCCTCTCCAACAACCCTTCTTTCAACTCCGATTTACTCACCGTCCGACGTCCGATCGACGAGCTGAAACCACCATCGTGTTAATTTTCAACCAAGGAACAAAACCCCTCAAACCTTTCGTCATGAATCGTCGCCGTTCGTCGTTAATTTCAGTCGGAAGTATCGTCGGTAATAACTCGATTTTAGTTGGTTTTTCATCGATTCACGACGATCGGGTCATCCGTTTACGACACCTCCCGCATCATCGTGTTCGTTGCATCGTTCCGAGTTCGCCAGTGTCATCCTTGGTCTCCGTCGACGGCGGCACGTGAGGAGGTGAAGCGGTCAAAGTTTCCGATTTGTTGAAATCGAGCTCTCCGCCGTTCAAAATTGTGAACCGAGCTTTGTAAGTATCTTGAAATCACTCAAAATAATTTTTAAGAATTTTTCCGTGATTTTTAGGTAGCCAGAAGGGGCCCCAAGCGCCCCTACGCGCTGCCACTGCGCGTGGGGATGGTCCAAATGACCGGTTTGACCGGTTTTGGTGTATAGTTAACCGGTTTGACCGGTCATAACTCGACCCGGCACGACTCGTTTACCCGACCTGCTGACCCGACCCGACCCATTGACCGTTAACTCGTTGACCGTTGACCAAAACTTTGACTGGCTTTGATCGGTATTAAACGACCTTTGACTTCGACTGAGTATACCTATCCTGACATTTTTCGATGTTCCAAATCCGATTCCGCTGTTCGCTTTTCAAAATTCAAACCCGAACGCCTCGAAATTACCGGTCAAACCCGTTGACTTTGATTTTGACCAAAAATTTCAAATTTTTGAAAAGTCATATTTTATACTTTCGACGTCCTGAATCCGAATCCGAAGTCCGTTTCGCCAAATTCGAACCCAGTAAGCTGTCTTTCATTGATTTATCACCTGATTCGATCCGTTTATCGCAATTAAGCACCGTTTCTGATATAATTTATATTGATATGTATCTGAGGAATTATTGGAAGTTGAATTGAAGATCAAAGGCGTTAGAATGGAATTTTTATGGTTGATCAGTATTGCACAGAAATTGAGGTAATACTTTACTACCTCTTTATGCTTTTTGGAACATGTGAATATTGGTAAATGCATGATTAAGATAATGTTGGTCTCATTTGTGTAGTTAATTAGTTTCTACACTCAATATGAATGTGGTAGAAATTCGATATCTGAATACGGATCGAATGATTAATATAAGAGATTGAAAGATTGTTAGAATTAAATTACAAGTTTGTGATTAGTGATAAAGAAATCAGACATAGATTTGTAAATTATATTATTTTCGTTAAGAGATAATATCGAAATTATCTTGTTAAGAAATTATGAAAATGCCCTTAAGAGGTAGAATAGTCAGAGTTAACCCTGAATGAGAAAATACTTAGAGGATTCGTACTTAACTCAATTAAGTATGGATTTGATTGTTAAAATCATGACTTAGTGCAGGAAAATTCCCGATGTTCCGTTTGTAAAATCTGAGAAGGCACTTGACTCGGAAATATCCGAGTTATGAGTAAATACCTGAAGAACAATTTGTCGGGGGTGTTCTGTTGTCAGAATTGTTCGAAAGGACTGAAATAAATGATAAGATTGAATTTAATAGTAAGATCAGACGGAAGGAAATGATTAAAGTACACTGAATCTGTACAATGACCAAAATACCCCTGTAATGGAAATGACCCAAGAATATCACCAAGCTCAGGAGTAATTGGATATCCTCGAGCTCTGAAATAAATGGAATAAAACTGAACACCAAAATTACCAAAATAACCTTATGGCCTAAACTAAGTAAATACCTTAGATTAATTAAGGAATCCAAATAAGCATAGGTATTGGACTACCTTTAAAAATTATGGAACATAACTTAAGTGAGCCGATCAACCTTAATAATATGTCAGTACCTGAACGACATAGATATTACTTGAATGTATGTTCGTCTACTCAAGTTTAGCTCAATGATAATTTTGGAAGTATTCAGCTCAGCTCAACTCTAGATCGCATTCAATAATAAGAATTGGACATTTGTTCGACAAATCAACCACGAAGACCAAATTGAATGTAACGGAAATACAACATGTATCTGAAATTCAGGAAAGTTTGAATTACTCTGGAAAATCCCGAAGTAACTGGAATGGACATGACTGCTAAATGAACTAGGTAACTTCAATGATTGAGGATTTAGTAAGTGATTTGGATAAGTCTGGAAACTCTGATGAGTTTACATAGTGTATAATTACAATGGGTTATGAATAAATTAATCAAGTACGTCAGTATTACATGATATTGTGGAAGCGTGGAAATGAAATTAAGAGCATTGGAATATTTTTTTAGTCTCCTTAAGATCTGTTCAGTGATGACTCAGAAGATGATCTATGGATAATAATATTTGATATTAAAGAGTAAATACCATGGAAGGTTAATGAATTAACAAGTTGATAAGTATTGTTTCTAGGAGCTATTCATTTGGAGTTATTCGATAAATTGATTAATCGACATAGATTGTAAATGTCCTGAACATTCATTTCTTCCTTACCAGCTCAAGTCATATTCTGAATAATTGATGATTTTGTCAGTTATTGAACTCTTCCAATAGTGATTCTGAATTCCGATATTCTATCAGTATACTGAAGATCTGTGTTTTTCTGTTTGATAAGATTATCCAGTACCTCTGAATAATATTTGTAAACTCTGGTGTGTTCCCTAATTATATAAATATTTTATCTGATTTCCGACTTAAATTCTGTTCTGATACATTACCTGAATTCTGTTCTGATTTCTGATCTGGATTCTGTTCTGATATCTGATCTGAATTCTGTTTTGATTTCTGATATCTCCGTTTACCGACGGAGAAATGTTTTATCTGGGGGGTTTATTGTTGGAGGAAGATTATCTGCAGGCTTCTCGGCTGTGTGCTCAGGGCCTTACTGGTTGTGCGGGGTGTATGGTTCCGGGGAACCTACACAAACAGATTG